CCTTAGCTTGGCTGGTTTCTTGCCAGTTTTTCTTAAATTTTCCTGACTACCTTTTGCCTCCGGGCTCTTTCTTTTTCTTACTTCTGTATATCTGACTTTTCACTCTCACTCTGTGGCTGGGGAGGTGGCCGGCCCCTGAGGTCCTCCTCTTCTTGTTCAATCTTTCCTTCCTCCCTTCCCAGATTTCTCTTTCTATATCCTCTCTGCCTGCCAGCCCTGCCTACCCTTTCTCCTGCCTGCCTCGATATTGACCGTTCCGCTTTATTAGCAAAGATTCACAGCTTCGCAGAGTTAAACAAATGTAGCAGAAACAAAAGCAACACATCTTTACATCGTTAAACAAATGCTCCAGAGCATAAGCAAGTGTAACACACTTTAAAATAATATTCTACAATACATGGCAGTCACACATTTGTAAACCATATATCCTTGGAGAAACCTAAATAGAGCCACTGTGACCATTAATTAGGGTACAGGGCACATATATGGGGAAGGTTACCACTTCTTAAGCATCTCCTATGAAGGTGCTTTCAATTGGAATGTTCTTTCTTTGCTCTTAGGCTTCATCTTCATTAAAGGTGACATTCTATCTACTGGTGACTTCAGTGGCGGGGGGGGGGGGTGTATTACCCTATTCAATCCACTGTACCAAAATTCTCATTCTGGTCAATTATCAGGGAGAATCTAAGTCAAGTAGCCTATGTGGTGCAATGTGTGTGATATTTTAAGTCAACCACATTTTGCCGACTTAATTTCTTGCCTGGGTTCATCTCTCCAAGCAGAGACTGTTATAATTACATTTAAAATGGGGCCTGCATGTTCATGTGTCTGAAGACTGGGTCCCCAGCTGGTGATGCTGCTTTGGGAGGTTATGGAACCTTTGGGAAATGTGTCCTACCTAGCAGAAGGAGGCTGCCAGGCATGGGCTTTGAAGGAGTTCCCTGATTCACCAAGCTATATATAAAGCACCCACACTCTGCAGGCTCTTGCTGGCCCTCATAGTGCCCTCACCACAAGCCCTGATAAATACACACACACACACACACACACACACACACACACACACACTTCTGTCAGGCATTTTGTTGGTGTGACGAGGACAGTAACTAATAGAGACTCCATTATACCTAGGTGAGTGAGCAATGTGACTTGTAACGAGTAAGGTTTTCCCGCCCTCCGCTGGTCTTGTCCCGCCGCCGCGCCAGCCCCAAATAACACACTGAGTCTCTGTATTTGATATAATTCTGTTGGCCAGGTACTTGTTTCTTATCGGCTAGCTCTGTCTTAAGTATTAACCCATTTCTGTTAATCTACGTATTTCCTAGTGCTTTCATCTTACCGGGGAATGGGCTGGTGTTGTGCTCTCCCCAGTCTCTCCATCTTGACTCCTCCTTACTACTTCCTCTTTCCTCCTTGTCTCCTAGTCCCGCCTGTCTTGCTTTCCGATTGGCCAACAGTGCTTTATTCATTAACCAGTATGAGAAACATATTTACAGAATGACATCTCCCATCAGTGATTCTTAATTTACTTAGCTCCAAAATGAAGCCACCGTCACCAGAATAGCATGAAGACTGAACAGGGTAACTCCTCCTCCTTTGTGTCCGAGACAGAATTTCTCTGTGTCGCTCTGGCTGGGTCTGGACCTCACTATGTATACCAGACAGCCTCGAATTCACAGAGATCCTCCTGCCTCTGACTTCCAAGTCCTGGGATTAAAGGCACCACCATGCCGTCTCAAAGGCCAAATGGTATTTATTTATTTATAGCCAGGATTTCACTGTTCAGCCAGGGCTAGCCTGCAGCTTCCTATAGAGACCAGGTTGGCCTCTAGCTTACAGGGATCTGCCTGTTTTTGCCTACATAAACCACCACATCCAGAAGATTGACAGTTAAAACAAAACAAAATGAAACAAACAACAAAAACAAAAAGCAAACAAAAAAAAAAAAAAACCTAAAAGTCTTAACACATAAAAGAAAAATGACCCTCAAGGCGCTGGAGAGTTGGCTCAGAGGTTAAGTGCATTTATTGCTCTCACAGAGGACCTGAGTTAAATTCCCAGGACCAACTTGGTGGCTTACAACCATCTGTAACTTCAGTCCCAGGGGATCTGTTGGCCTCTTCTTGCCTCCTTGGCCACCAGGCACACATGTGGTACACACACATACATGTAGACAAAACACACATAAAATTTAAATGACCCTCCACCATCCTCCACCATCTAATAAAAGTGGGCAAAGCTCATGCTCCATGCACATTAGTTCGGCTCATCCTACTCACGACATGAAATCTGCAAAGAACTTTAAAAAAAAAAAAAAAATCTGCTTCCCCTGCCCCTGGGTTATCTGATGACTAGTCCAAGGACAGAAAAGAGACAACAAAAGCTTTATCTAGGTGCCTCTTGTCTTCTGGGGAGGAGAGTTCTTTAAGTGGGGAGGTACTAGAAGTAGATTCTAAGAAGCTTTCAGATCGCTTCATCAGACCTTGGACCTGTACTGCTGCACAGGATAAGGACAGAGACAAGGCTACAGAGAAATTGTTCCTCAGATTGGGGAGGGGGAAATGAGCAGACTCTCCACTGCAGCCCTTGGAGGCCTGTGGGCTCCAAGACCAAGATTTCCAATGAGAAGCTAAGACCTTGGCTTTTGTGCGAGAGATCTCTCATCTTATTTAGTGACTGCGGGAGTCAGTCTCTCTATGTGTGTTCAGGCTGGATTCGATCTGCCAGGTTGCCACCTCTGGGTTAGGCACTGAAGAACACGGCAAATCTGGGTCCCAGCTGATCCAAAAGGAGTGACTATGGCCTGTGAGGGGTCTGTGTGTGGGGCAAGCCTGATCTGGTGTTGGTCTCTGCAGGCTGCGCTCTCTTAGGTGCCAAAAACCTGGTCTCTAGACAGACCCATCTTGGTGGCTTTGTAAATCGGCTCTATCTGTGGCACTGGCACCCCCTTGTGGACAACACGGGAAGGGCCTCATACTTGAACACAGTTGACACCTACAAATCAGAGTCTCAGGAGCTGCAGTAACATGTCATTCCTATTGAAACAGAAGCAATGTCTTCAGCAAGCAAAGCCTTGGCGCGAAAATGAGGTAACAATGTCAAAGTAGAGGGGCAAGGAAAGTGAGCTGGGCTTTGTCATAACTCTTCCCTCTGGCATTCAGTTCTGGTTGCTCAAGCCTATCGCCTGGAGGCATCTGGCCTGTGGCCACCTCCAGAAGGGCTCCCAGAGCCCAAAGTGCATGAGCATGAGTCAGTTGTCTGGAAACTTCCAGCCCTGTGCCTTCAAGTCTCCTGAGAAATCAGGTAGGTGGCTTTTTTCCATCAGTGTTTGTGTTTGTGGCTGAGTTTAATCCCACTTTCCAGGGCCATGCTCATTTATGAGGTTTAAAGGCCACTGTGTCATATGTTCTGGAAGCTGCCTGTTTGAGTATCTCCCCACTTAGCTTAAAAAAAAATCACTTCTCATCCCTTTATTTTCGGGAAAAGTCAAGGTTCACTTTGACTGTTTCCAAAGTGTACACAGGCATTCTAACGTGTTCACATCACACACTTTGAGCAAACCCTCGGGTCTCAGTATGAGCCCTGCTCTTCGATCTCACAGTCTATAGTGTTTTCATGGTGCTCCCTGAAGTCCAGATGTAGGCCGTGTGTGCGTGCATGTGTGTGTGTGTGTGTGTGTGTGTGTAATTTTTTCCTTCTCTTTCTTTTGTTCTTTCTTCCTTCCTTCCTTCCTTCCTTCCTTCCTTCCTTCCTTCCTTCCTTCCTTTAGACAGGGTTTGTGTAGCCTGGAACTCACTCTAAAGATCAGGATGGCCTCAAACTCAGAGATCCACCTCTCCAGTGCTGGGATTAGAGGTGTGTACCACCAGTGCTTGGCCTATTTTTTAAACTTTTCTTTATTTATGCGCATGTATGTGCCTGTATGTATGTATGTATGTGTATGTACCATGTGTGCAGTACCTGTAGAGGCCAGAAGAGGGCATTGGATCCCCCAGGAAGAGTTGTAAGCCACCTGATTTGGGTGCAAGTGACGGAACCTGATCCTTCATAAGAGCTGCGAAGGTTCTTAACTGCTGAGCCATCTCTCCAGCCCTCTCAGCAGCATCTTTGCAGTCATCCATCCCACAGCCCCAGAATGAAAACTACATGGCCTAATATGAAGCTGTGGGATGCTCGATTCATGAAAAGATGCTAGGAACTTCACCACTGACCTGACTGCCACTCTTATTTCATTGCTACCCCTGTGCACTCACGAACGTTTCAGGTCTCTAAAAAGTATTTTGAAACACAAGTATTGTGAAGCCAGCTTGGTCTGCATTGTGAGTTCCAAGACAGTCAGGGCCAAATAATAAAGGCCCTGACTCAAGTAAACAAACAAACAAAAACCAAAAATAAATGCAAAGGGCTGAAGAGATGATTCAGAGCACTGGCTTAGAGACTGGTAAGGACCAGGACCTGACAATAGTCTGTGTTGTGATAATTGGCCATCTCATCTGCCAGGTCCTACCTCACCAGCCTTCACCAAGGCATTTGAAGACTAGGATTCACATGGTAGATGCAGAGAGGGCCAGGGGTTGTATGGGAACTTCTAGGAACATGAGGCAGATGCCACCTGGCTGAGACTGGACATCCTTGGAGACACCCCGGAATCTGGAGGTTTCTGGCACCCACACCATAAGGTACTCACTCACAGCCAAGAGAGTGAGTATTTGTCAAAAGCCAGGGGCTATCGTGAAAGGCCAGTCATAACATTATTGACTCAGCCAACTAATGAAAAGACTGGGCTATTTCTACTTGTATCTGGATATATTTGCAATTTAAGGAGGGTCAGGGGAGTCAATGATGCCTCAAACTGTGATGACATGGATGTCCCTTCAGTTCTGGCTTATGATTTGTATTTTACATGGTTACCAACCGTCACTAACAGAGTTCTGTCTCAGGACGGGTGTATTCAAATCTGAGGACCACCAGTCTAGAAATAAGTAAACAATGACCAAACATTTTAGGTCAAGGTGAGTTTATTGTCCAAATAGCATAACCTAATTGCATTCAAAACCACTTACAACTCCATCCTCAAATCCAACTTCGAACTAGTCAGAACATGTTATTCTTTTTAAGATCACATCAAAACTTAACAGCTGACTATGTGACATCACCATCATAGTCAATACAATGTGTTTCCCCAGATTTCCTAAAGACCTTTTTTTTTTTGTTCACACTGATCATGCTACTTTAGCATTTTCTAGTATCCCAACCATAAAAACCACCCACACCTGTTATAGAGTACACTGTGAGAGAATAACATTGATTTGATATGGCATCACACTCTTAAAGCAAATTAAGAGAAGAAAGAAAATAATAATCCAAGACAAAAGATCATAACTGATAGATCTGAGGTACATGGCAGAAGGATGATAAACATAATCGTGACAATTCAATGGCCTGGTGACTTGCTAGGGACATATAAGATGATCAGCATAAGAATGACAGCCAATGAAACTTAAGAGAACTTTTTAAGGTTTTTTTTTTTTTTCTTCTTCTTTTTTGTCAAAGTTAGGCACCTGTTGAAATCGAGTGGCTACTGTAATGGCTACTGTCAATAAGGCACTTCTCCCCCACAAGTGGGCTGCAAGCAGGTGATGGTCCTGCAGCTCCGTCAAGTGTATTTGTTGATGGCTTCTTAAAACTGGAGCCGAGAATGGTTCTGACGGCCCCAGCCAAGTTTAAAAGCAGAAAGGCACAGGTTCTGGCTCAAGCGCCTCTTCTGTTTAGACTCTAGAATCATCAAAGGCCACGTGGGGCAAGGAAGTCACACCACCTCCTGAATCTTCCTACCTGATTTTGTACAAATGGATGAACATGCTGCTGTAGCTGTTCACAACCACCCAGAGTCTGCACCGATAAAAGCTTGTGTGCAATGTGCACCGATGGAGGGGCTTGTCGACTTAAGGGGACTTCATTGACTCGTTATTCATTTCCCTTTTAAAGCTATTCCCAAGGTTTGACTGTCTAAGATAAGCAAAGAGGAATCCTTTGGGCTTAGAAGTCAACTGGCTTACTTAGACTTCTTATTGCTACCTCCAGTTTGCCACACCACCAGTATACCCTTCTTGAACTAGAAAATCAGTATTTACAGGACATAAGGTACAAGTGTGATCCTCCCAGTCCTGTCCCCACAGTCCACCCACGTAGAGAATGCTCATCAGCTCTCTCTGTGAAAGCCATTCAATTTTAGTCTGTTGGTCCTACAGCTCTCAAGGCACAGGTTGGTAGGTCCCCAAAGAGCTAGACCATAAGAAAGCTATTAAGCGCCTTCTGAGGGGTCACTTATCCTGCTAGCAACAGGAGGGGATCCAGGACAGCTACATATACCCCCAGCCTGTCTGGCTGCTACCAGTCTGTCTTGGTAAGCACACACCTCACGCTAGCTGCCTCCAAGATGTGCCCTGCTCTTCTGTGTCGTCCTGGGGACAGTTCAAACCAAAGCAACTTCTAAACGCTATCCCTTCTAGAAGGAGCTAGCTACTTAGCACAGGTGGATGGTCAGCCTTTGTCCTCTTGCAGGCTGCCTGGCTATTAAGGGACTGTTAGGAATCTCCTATGCTTAGGATATTATTTTTGGCATACTAGGGTTTCCTCCCCTCTAGGATTTGGTCAAAACAGGGAAGGACCAAAATTTGGCAGGCTTGGGGAACAACTTGGCCCCCACGGATGGAGAAAGAACAAACAACAATGATGACAAAGGAAAAAAAAAAACAAAACAAAAAACAAAAACCAAGAGCTCATTAACAAAGGCAGAAAAAGATCAGCGTCTGCAATCCCTTTTGTAGGATGTGAAGGAGATGGGGGAGGGGGCCAGCTGAAATCCACGGGGTGATTTATACCCCTCTGGGACAAAAATACTACCAAGGAGATCCAAATCTAAGCAGAGGGTATTGGTCACCAAAGATCCAGGCTCCCTTCCCTTGGTGTAAGCAAAGAGCAGGCAGAATAGCCATTCTTCAGGCCTCGCCACACAGGCTCCGAGGAGGCAGACAGAAGTGTCTTCTCTGTCCAGATGAGAGGACTGGAGGGAGACTGCTCCTCCCCTGCTGTGTCAGCTCCCTTCATTCTGTGTCCCTGCTAACCTCCAAGGCCTTGTGTAACTCTCCCCATTTGCCCAAGAACTAAAGAGACAGTGCCTGCCAGGTTCTTAAAGACCAGGGGAGTGGGCTGTGCGATGCGAGCTCTGGAGAAACACGGCTAGCTGTGGGCCAATCCCCTTCCCCTCTCCTACTTCCCGATTCATCACCCACTGTTATACCACAAACTCCCTAGAATTTTAGGGTCGTGCTACCTCACCAAGTCCTGATCCTTCCTAAATACTCTCGAGACCAGAGGGATGGCCTCTCATTCCCTTTCAACGTGCATCCCACACCCACTCAACCTGTGCTTCCTATCTGACCCACTCAATGGGATTGAAAACCTGAAGCCATTCAAGGCCCCCCACAGACACCCTGTCCCTTACAGAGCACTTGCCTGCCACGGTGGAGGACAGGAATGAGAAATGTATGCTATAGACTCAGTCTAGGAAGACTTCGAAGACCATCCCAAGTTGGGGTGTCAGCGTCCAGAAGGAAACTGGTCAACTTTCATGATGAAGGAGCCCTACGAAGAAGAAAGTCCTGTTTCTCGCGGTCTATAAGATGGGCGTGTGTGTCTCCTAATAGTCTGCCGGAATTCTTGATTGCTCATTCTGGTGAATGATGCAAATCAGGCTTAGCTAGCTCACTGCCTGGGTTTGTGGAGTGTCTGCCTTGCATGGAGGAGCTCTTCCTTCAGCGTGTTCTTTCACCATGAGAAGGGAGCCTGAGTCAAAGGGGAGCCTGGTGACCTTTGAGACTGGAAAGATCCCTGGGCCTGAGACCCTGGGGTCAGGTCCCTTCTGCCCTCTACCCAGGAGGATGCCCAGCTTCTGCCTTCTGCCTGCTCTCATCTCTGTGTCTCCTGGTAGCCGCCTTGCGAACAGAAACTGTGAGGGTATGAGGTATCATGAAAACAAAAACGTACATTGTTACCATTATTGATTTTGTCCAGTAAACCTGAGGTAAATAATACTCTCTTTGAAGAATGTGATGGGGGACAGAGGGGGGAGAGCCATGAAAGAAAAGGAACAAAACAAGATGAAATACAAGTCATCAATATGCTACCAGAAGAAAACGAACCAAGGAAAAGCGTTTCCAGTACAAAGAACTCATCTCAACCATCTACTTCGGGACTTGAAATTTAAGCAGTAAAATAATATATTATAACAATGTTTCTAAAATAGCAGCACACCGTGAAACATTACAGCTAGGTACTGTTAATGTGACTAGGGATGAATGATCTCAGCTTAGCAGCGAAAAATAATAATAAAAAACAGAATAAAAAAAAAAAAAAAAAGGGACCCTAGATGTTTCTCTGTCTTCAACCCTCACAATGACACAAGGCAGAACCTGTGTGTGAAATTACTTCTTCAAATCATTCCTGTTCCAATCTTTTCTCTTAAAAAAAAAAAAAAAAAAAAAAAAGGCAAATATTTTAACAAATAGCTTCATTGTCTGTCAATTAACAGCTGTGGCTCCAACTTCTGTTTACTGACTGCCTCAAAGAAGTGGGAGAGGAAAAATTCAAGTACAATGAATAAAACTTTGCAGTAAAATTAACAAACAAACAAATGGGGGGAGGGGGGAACGGAAAAGGGAGCAAAATGTCACACCCTGATGTTTCTTTACATGTCCAAAGGAGAAAAATACAGAATTCAATCCCTCTATGCCATCAGGATGGTTTAGACCTTTGTTTTTAGGCTAAGATGGGAATGTCAGCGGATGGATCTCTTAGTCCTGATAAGGACACCAGGGCTAGGTACCAGAACATCAGACTCTGGAAATGAATAGTGATGGGAGGGGACAGGAAGGGGAGGGGCAAAGCAGGAAGGAGTATTCAACATGACTGTATAAACCATCCCATCTATGTCCCCACCCCCCACCCTGGAACAATTTTTCAAAGTGCTTTTCTAATGGAATGGTTTATAGCAATGTTAAACTGTGGACCAGAAATGCCAATCAGCACCGAAAATTAAGTTGTTGTTGTTTCCTAATAAGGGATTCAAGATCATCTTGCCCTCTTCTGTTACATAAAAAAGCTTTGTTTCAGATTCCACTTACGGTCTCCATCTGCCACCATTTAGATGAGTTTGGTCAGGGCCCATAGCTAATTCCCTCCGTCAGATAACAGTAGGATACATCGACAATGAACCATGTTTGGAGGAAGAAGCACAAACTCACCAAATATGAGACTTAGAAGCCAATCACCTGTGTCCAACTGGCAAAAAAGAAAAAAAACATCCCTTAGATAGCAGCTACTGTAGACAGCGAGAATATGCAAGGCAGAGACGCCCGCCATGCTAGGTCTGGGTAACACATGGTAGGCATCAAGGTGCTTCTTACTTCCAAAATGGTTCAGTCATGTGGACAGGTGGTTCTGTGCAACCTTCCCAGCCTGTCCCTTCTTGCTCCTGATTCCTCCTTGGGTTCACTGCTTTGCAATCTAATCATGCCTTCCTGGTATCCACGGCTCCTTGCAAGTCTATTAAAAGGGGCATATGGACTAGTTCCCAAGCACAAAAGACAGTGTCCTCTAATTTGTTCCCATATTGCAGGTGTACATAATCTCGAGCTAGTCTGCGAGTTCTCTTGTAAGCATCTCACTATAACTTTTACATCGTCAAACAACAACTGTTCTCGTATACAAGGGATCCCCTCATGCTCTACTTTGAACAGGCACCACATGCTTTTCAATTATAGGGCCTTTTTCCTCTCACTTCTAAAAGATCTTTAAATATGATCTAGGTGGGGGCAGTTTTTTCTTTCTTTTTTTTTTTTTTTTTTAAGTTTCACTCTAAAACACAAAGAACAAAACATAATTAGAGAGAGAAGGAGCGAGCAGGTGATGAGTATGCCTCTCTCTTGCTGGCCCAAACGGCATCCTCACAGGTCAACATCCCGAACATCTGTAGGGGTGGTGGCTTGGTCCAGATCTTCCACAGACTTGGATCCATTATGCTGCTCTTGACGAAACTGCTGCAGGCTGTTGAGCAGCACAGCCTCAATTTGCTCCTGACAGGCTCTGAGACAATCCTAGAGGAGGGAGATCCAGACCGGAGCTATTAGCACATGCACTTGCATAAAGCATCTCCCAGAGAAGCTTTCCAACTCACATCACCCCACACGCATTGTCCTCTAGAAGTAAATGTGAAGGAAAGGAGAGATGTTCTCAGATGCCACAGAAACTCAGCGCATAAAGTGGGGTCCACAGACCGGCAGCATCAGCACCAGCTGGCAACTAGCTAGAAGCCCATCCCAGATGGAGCCAATAGGGACTGGCATTTCAGCTGAAGCCCAGGCATTTCCTATTCTAAAACATATTGACCAGAAGGTGATCCGGAAAAACAAACAAACAAAAATACCCTTGCCAGGACATCAAGGGGCCAACTGTAGGTTTTCTGTCTGGGAAAGATAGGAGGTGGCACAGAGGGATTTGGTTCCTAAAAGGCGCTACACTGTTAGCCAAGCCAGCAACCAATGAATAGGTAACAAGGGGGATGCTTAACTATTTAAAGGGTTCCGAAACTAAAACTCCCCATGTTTTCTGCTCATTTGCCAGCTTTGAACATTTTTTCCCCACAAAAATAAAAATAAAAAACACAATGCAGAATGTTTACAAACCTCAGGACACTCGAGCTTGTCCAATTTGGGAATAAGCAAGAATTTGCAGTGTTGCCTTTAATAGTCTATATTTGGTAGGGAAAATCCAGAGCCGAGCTGCCCCAAGCAAAAGTGTCTGTTAGCTGGGAGACATGGAATGCGAGGGCAAGTCACGCTGTCACTGGGATGGGACTATGGATCAGGCGAGAAGATTGGGGGTGGAGGCAAGCCAAGGAAACTGCTCTTAGTAGGGATTTCCCACCTTAGCCTCCTGGGTCTGCCTCCCTGTACTGTGCAGTGACCTATGCATACAGAACCTGTGCTAAACTGAATCCCACCCCCCCCCACCTGCCCACAGCTTAATACACATGCCCCTCTGTTTACTTCGCTGTGCAGATCTTACCACCTAGAAGTTGCTATTTTTCCAAGCACAAAGGCATTCTATTTATTTTCCAAAGACCTAAAATAAAGTTGGCATTAAGTACCAAGGAGCGAAGTTTCCATTCCCTCCCACCTCCATGTTTTCTTTCCTATCTCTCATCCATGTTTCAAACTATAGCTTGAAGATGAGGAGTGACAGCAGACCAAGGGCAAAGGGCAAAGGGGAAATGTTCCCCTGAATCCAAGAATGATGGGAAAAAGGAGGGTGGTGTTTGCTGCTCACTCCACACTGGCAGGGCATGGCTCTCCATTAGTCAACTCCAATCTGTTTCTCCATCTATAAAAATAAAGTGCTAAGTAGCAGATCAGTAAGTGATCATTGCTTATTATGTGTGTGTGTGTGTAGCAAAGGCTCTAACTGTCCTGGAATCTGAAAGAATGCTTTGGGCTTTAACCAAATGATCCTCCTACCTCAGTCTCCTGACTAGCTGGGATTGCAGGCACACAAAAATAACCCATCTTAGATTTCTTCAAAGGAAGGTATGGATTAGCAATTACTTAAGACAAGAATGGGTCACACGCCTAGTCCTTGAGACAGTGCAGACCCTGCTCCGGGGTCATCAAGCCGATTTCAACAATGCCAAATGAGGGACTCATATGCCAAGGATATAACGTCTCTCATCCTGATCTGTGGGCAACATCATCTGGGTTGGCACATCTACCCCATCGTCATGACCAATGTACATCTCCATGGTACCCGTGTATGAATCAGGCCAGATGGTCCTCCGAGGAGATCAGCCGGCAGAGAGCTTAAGGGCTAGGCTTTAGGATCTGCAGTGTCCCGGCTCTTCCTACTAGTAAGCCTTCCCTTCTAGCTGTCCGTGACTTTAAAGGGACAGTTCTGAGAAACCCTACAGAGAAAGGCAGGACATCTGGCAGTCATTTCTACCCAGCTTTCAGAGCCAAGGGCTCAAAATGATGCGAGCGTGATATGACACATGCTACAGCCAGGGCAGGCTCACAGGCTCTTCTAAGCAACAGAAGAAGAGTCAAAGATTTTTATAGAAAATGTACATTCTTCCTAGTGTTAATTGAAAGCCAAGTCATTACCGACTCTGGATGACCCCTGACCATTGATTGATCCCTTTCACTTGGAGAAGAGAACAAAAACTAATGTAATTAGCTGAGGAAAACTCTTCAGCTGCCACTCACACAGTACACTGCTAAGCCCGTCTGGGGTCTCTGCTTGCCTATGCATCAGTTTCCACTTCCCCACAAGTTGTCTGTTAGCAGTTCTACTTTTAACTCGCGCCCCTCAGTCCTGGCTCAAGCAGGTGGATATATCAAAGACTTGAGCCTGTCCTGCATGAACCGTGGAGAACATACCACTTCCTGCAGGTGGAGAAATCTGCACTGTACCCTTCCAACGTCAATCAATCCCAGTATAGTAACACCCTCCCTCAGCTTTGTAGAAGCCCTTCGTGGGCCCAACCGGGCAAATGAACGTCATACGAGCTGGCAGCAAGCAAAGAAGACACCATTGCCCGTGAGTTGTGAGCTACCTCAAGCAGAACATAATCTGCAGGGGTGAGGGTGGGTGGTAACTTAGAAGAGCTCTACCCACCTCCAGCCCAGCCACGCAGCTTGTGTGGAGTTCAGAGCAATTCCAAATGGAGGGACTCACAACTGATATCTTAATCAATGATCAGAGTATCAACAAATCTGCAGAAACCGAACTGGGAACTGGAGCTAGGGAATGGGAGTGGCTTGTCCCTGAATGACAGCAGAAAAATCCACACAAGTTAATAATTTGAGAACTTTCTCTTTCCAAGTTCTCTTCTTTCAGGATGTAAGGAAGGGCCTAATGGACAGAGATTCTCCATACAGGAAGAGCCAGGTCAAGTGTGTATGTGTGTGTATGAGTGTGCATGTCTGTGTGTATGTGTGTGTGTGTGTGTGTGTGTGTGTGTGTGTGTGTTCAGGGGTGATGACAACAGTGTCCCTTAGGAAAAGATGCTGCATCCCTGTGACAAGCGGGAACTCCTGGACCTCTGCTTTTCGGCAGCCTCCCAAAGCAGTAGGCATTGTGTTAAGATGCCCCAAATTAAGCTGATTAAAAGGGGAGCTATAATGCTAGTCTGTCAGCCGGACAGGTGGCACTCCACTGCGCTGGAGGTCGGGCACCCCTCCAAGTCCTCTGATGATGGCCCCCTCCCCACACTGTTCTGGCTCCTCATCCTCAGAGCCCTGACAGCAGCGGCTGTGATCTCCAGCTCGTTACTCGGCCCCCGACTTCCTCCACTTGCTGGCTCGAGCTCCCTGCCCTGCACCCTCCACCGCCTCCATGAATGGGCCCACGGAACTCCAACCATTAGCCCTCAGTGTGACTGCATCAATCCATTGTCACTACACACACGCACTGCACTCAACAGGGGGACAAAGGGCTGAATGAGCCCCAGACCCGCGGCCAACTCAGGCAGAGACAACTTAGGAAACTATCTTCATTCTTCCTTTCCTCACAGGCTGTTTGGCTCGTTTCCTTGCATACCAAATGAGGCTGACAAGAAATGAGGAGGGAGGGAGGCGGCCCCCGCTCTAGCCCACCTCCCCTGCCCCCAGACTGCCTTCCATGCTTCCCAGAATTCTTGACCCTATAAAGCCCACTGAAGATGACAAGGGTCACAGAGATGGCTTGAGAAAACAGCAAGTCTCAAGCCAAGTGGGGGACAGAAGAGATACTAGGGACCCCACAGAAAACTATTGGTTTTTATAATTACTCACTGACAAGCAGTATCATAAAATGCCCAGATGACCCTAAAGGAGGAAAATTCTAGAATCTACTCTGCGCAGTTCTTGAGAACATGGTGAGGAGTTCTGATGTAATCCAGTTAGAACCAGCTGTATGACCAGAGCCTGCACTGGTTCTATTAAATATCTTCTAGAAACTCCCTGGTATCTTTTGAGCATGGATGGAAGCCTCAATTCAATTCTTTTGTTCTTTCTGGAAATGTTGGAGATTGAACCCAGAGCCTTGCACTTGGTAGGCAAGATTTCTACCCCTGAGTCTCATACCTGCCCTAGAATTCTGTAACTGTGTGACTGAGAGTGAAGGTTAAGTGGCTTACACTAAAATAAATCTTCTAACATATAACTAATGTTTAATTACGGACATATAGACTGACAGGTAGATACAGATAGATGGCAAATCTTTCCCAAAGTCCTGAATGAACGAAAAGAGGCACACTTGAAACCCATCTGCCTGCCCTTTGTCCTTCACTCCTTTGTCTCCAGTCCAATGACAGCCAGAGGCTTGGGATAAAAAGCCAAATCTAGTTAGGTCTTATTCAAGAGGCCCTATATAGTCAGCTTAACAGTGAGGTAAATGCCAGAGCAAAGCATCTTAACATTGTGGAGGTGACCAAAAAGGAACCCGATTCTGCAGGGGCCTGGGATGGTCCATCCCTACCCTCAAACTCACCCTTGGCAACAGAAGCCTGGGTGGGTAGAAGTTCCCCGAGAGCCAGCCTGCCTTCCTGGCTGGTGTTTGTTTTTAGCAACTCTTGTGGCTGGAAGTAAAAAGTACCGAAAATACACCACCCTCTTAAACTTCGCTCCCTGTAACGCTGTCAATCTCCTCACTCAGATCTCTCTTTGGAATGGAGCCTTCTGGTTTATTTTGGCAACAAGATGGAAAAGCAAAGACACAATTTCTCAGAGCCACGTGGGTCCCTGCAAGCCCAGCTATCTGCTGCCAGTGAGCCATGGGATTGTAGTCCACTGGTGACAGATGAGTCAAAAGGACCTACTTTCAACCTTGATCTCAGACCATCGATGAGTTGTCACTCAAAGTAAGAGCAGTGAGACGGAACAGATTGTGAAGGACAAGGTGAGCTCAGGAGCTCTGGTCAGCTATACTGCAAGGTCTATTCTTGTGTCTGCTGTGAGAATCGAGCAGGGATCTGCACCCCAAATTAAGACAAAACACTGGCCCCTTGCAGAAATGAAGTGTTAAGGACAGTGAGATGGCTCTGTGGGGGAAGTTGCCTACCACCGAGCTTGATGACCCAAGTTCAATTCCCAGGACCCACACAGTGGAAGAGCCGTCCTTAGCACATTGTTCTAGGACCTCCACATGCAAATTGTGGCATGCATTACACACACACATACACACACACACTCTTCCCTCTTCCCTTGAAGAACTAGTGTGTTCTTCATAATGTGCTGGAGTTGGAGATGGGGAGCTATGTGATCTATATTTTGGAGCCCTTGCTGAGAAACAGACATTTTGACACCAACATTTAACATAGCCCATGGAAAATCTGGTTGAGAGATGAGCTTAGGCTTAGTTCTTTCTATCAAGCTCTTCAAGTCCTGCCACCTCCCTGAGCTAGTGGTCAAGGTCAAGGCCAAAAATACAGGTAAGTTGATGGATGGCCTTGAGCTCCCTGAGTTTGAATAGCCGCTGCACACAGGCCTGTGTATCACATGACATGACTCTTGAACCAGTAAATTCCTTCACAGGGCACTCTCATTCCCAAGCCTCTCCATGGTGAAGCACCAGGGACCCGAGAGCCAGCAATGCTTGGCCTTTCAATTAAATGCCTTTTGCAAATACCAAGTTCCCAGGAGCCACAGCGGTGAACTGTTTCCAGGCTGGAGCTCAGAGGCATGGGTCCCAGCTCCACCACTTCCTGTTTTGCCTCTAGGTTGCCTCCTTTACCCTCTCTGCTGCCTGGAAAAATGCAGCAAACTGTCTATCTGGGCTCTGTGAGCCATCCCAAACGGAACCCTCTCCAAACTGTTATGCCCTGGCCGGTGAAATCAGGACCTATGGAATCCTAGTCAGTCTCAAAACCTCTCTTGTTTAAGAGCTCTGAGTCCTGGCAGCCAGAAGCAGACTCGGGGCCATCCACACAGAATGGAAAAAGTCTAAAGCTAATAATAGTTTCTCGAATTTGTGTTGCGCTTGATCTTTGGGTGCCTTGTCATCCATCACAACTTTGATCAAACGGCAAACCTGAGACAGGATGGTGGAAACCCTGACACCACGCACACAAAGCCACCTCTTGAATCTGCTCCCTCCACTGCAGCCACTGCCCCAGCTTTAGCTGTCCCCTCTTTGAGCCCTGCCGCCTCAGAGGGGAGTAGCAGAACTGGAGGCTCTCCATGGCAGAGCGGAGAGGGCTGACAACGTGTACATAAATGGACATGAACCCCATACCACAGAGGGAAACCAGTCAACGGCCCTCCCCCTCCCATCAGCCTGCTGAGGTCTGTCTGTATTTTAAGACACACACAGGCTTTCAAACCCACAAGGGGAAGCAGGGGGTACTGGTGCACACCTGTAATCCTAGCTACCAGGGAGGCAGAGGCAGGAAGAGCACAAGTTCAAGGCCAGGCTGGGCAACTTTGTGAGATTGCCTTTCAATAAAATTTAGAGAAGAGATGATAATTTCACTCAGTGGTAGAGTGGATGCAGAGCCCAGTCCCCAGTAAGACGCACACCTTGACGGGGAGGTGTCACTATGCTGGAAGTTTTTACACCACCTTAAGAGCTGATCTTCAAAGACAAATACCAAAGGGGGGGGGGATAACAAAACCTCTGAGCCACCATCATAAACCAACCATCTTTCCCAGAAGGAAGCTGAGGAGAGACATCTGGTTTCAGCCAAAGTGGCGGGTACCTACCACATCAGTGTGGGTGATCTTGGCCAGCAGTTCCGTCAGTACGTCACACGTGAGTGCGTTCTCTTCGTCATCCTGCTGGAGCCCACAGATGGCTGCTCCCACACTTCCGGTTGCGATCATGGATGGTGGGTACATGGCAAACTTGAAGTCTGTAAAGAAAGAGAGGCTGAAAGTTAAGCACAGAAGCAAAATGGGTCCCAGAGCTTGCCAGCCTGCAGATGGTCAGAGAGCAGAAGGTACGGGACCACGCCCTGGGACCCCTGGCACCAGCGGCTCTCTCCCTCAACTACTTCCACAGGAAGTGCCAACTATGGGTATTCTCAATCTCGAAAGAGACATCGAGGAAAGAGAGGGAGGGCATTCGTCTGAGTGTACACAGCAAGTCACCAAGGGCTCCAAGTACTGAGTAGTCTGGACCTTACAATTATTCAATAAGTCAGTACATGCCAGGCACCATGTTCTTTGCCCTGGCAGGGCCAGTGAGGTGAATAGAATGTGGCATCTTCCATGGGTGATGGTGGAGGAGAGTCGAGGAGGCATGCAATTGTTCAGGTCAGGATTCTATCTACCCTGCAGGTGGGATGACTATGGCCTCTCAATGTTTGAAGCATGGGGGACAAAGTACAAGGTGATGAGAACTTTTCTGAAGAGTGATCTTCCCAATAGGATCTTTCCCTAGTCTCTGGCTATGTGTAAAGAAACACTAGGCAGGGGCTGGAGAGTTGACTCAGCTTATTGTGCTGAGGACCCAGGTTGGACTTCAGAGCCCACATGAACCATCTGTGGCTCCAGTCCCAAGGGATCTGATGTCCTTTCCTGAGCTCCAGAGGTACCAGGCATGTGCAGAATACCGTGTGTGTGTGTGTGTGTGTGTGTGTGTGTGTGTGTGTGTGTGTATGTTCACATGTATGCACATGCAAGCTAAATACAGAAGCAATAATGTAGGAGATGAGGTGAGTTGGCTTAAATTCACTGTATTCTCAACTCCTAACCCTATGTTAAGGCTCTTCCAAACATTAGGACAGAGGTCAAATACTGAAGACTAACATTTGCTTTCCAATCATATTCTTATTTTTCTAAGAGTAAAGACAGAGGACTTTTTATCTTAGGTAGTAAGGCCAACTTGGGACCCTAAACTTATTTCCCACTGAGTGATTCTCTAAGGGGCTTCAGGACTATGATCCAGTAACTGCTGAACCTGCCAACTGCTAACATGCATGCATTGACTGTGATGTCTGTCTAACATGTTCTATCCATGTTATGGATGGAAGTGTGGAGATACCTTGTTTGTACAAATGAAGCCTGTCTGAACATCAGAGGGTGGAGCTTGCCACTAGCTAACCATAGAGGCCAGGCAATGGTGGTACCCACTTTTGGTGGAGAGAGGACATGAGATGTCTGGGCAAAGAAAAAAACAGAAACTTGCTCTCTTTTCGGCTGGGAAGTTGAGTAGGGAAGGTGACTGATGTTTTGGTCCTTCGTCTCTCTGATCTCACAGCATTTTCCCTATTAAAACTCCTGTGGCGTGGAAGGAAACCTGGGAATTGTCAACTTGTTCTTGCCCTTGCCCCTGCCTTGGGCTCACAAACTAAAGAGGTGACGAGTGTCATCATTCTGTCTGGTGGCAGTTGTGAAATGGGGCCCACTTTCCAGTGTGTGACCTCTAGTTGTAGCCAGACACCAGCAAATCCAGGGGGGACAGAAGGCGGAGCATAAGAGACAGATGAGTCACACTTCAGATCACAATGAGACTGGGCTGGACACTCACGCTCAGAGCAACCTAGGCTCTTCCCTCTCGCAATGCGGGCCCTTTTGTAGCAGAGTGACACCGTGAAGCCTTACACAGTGCATCAGCATCGAATCTCTACTGTACTCAGGCACGCCACAGATGAGTGACCATGCAAGCTTCCCCTCCTCCCGGGCTCAGTCCCAGGAATACAGGGTAGGCCTGGCTGTCTGATGTCTCTCTCCTTGGCTCTTGTCCCTTCACTACTCACCATTTTCACTTTGAGGGCCGTATATTATGGGGTTTCACCCAACTCCTGCTGGCTGCCAACCCCTGCCTGTCTGCTCTCCCCGACTAACTAATGTGACGAAGCCAACCTCCTTGCCCCTTGCTCTGCTGTAGGTCTCTCCCATATGGGCCACAGGAGACTGTTTCTCTGTCCAATAACCTTGTTAGCTCCCCTCTGTGACATTCATGGCACAGAAGAGGCAGCCAGCCCATGGCCCTGGGCCCACAGAGGTCCTGGGTGAGAGGCAGTGACAGGGCAGGGGACTATCCCGTGTCCCTTTTCTTGTGTGCAGGCTCCAGACCAGGAGGCATGCGTATCATCCCCGTAGAACTTGGCAGTCACACTGCTAATAAAACCAACTCGAGGTTATCGTGTGGAGCCAGAATATGTGGCTTGACCTGGAGTGCAGGTACAAGACCTTTATGGGGGGGGGGGGAGATCAACCTTTTCCCTTTCCCTAAGAAAGTTCTGAGAGGAGTCCTCCTTGGGCAGAGTCTGACTGACTCTTTATTCTGTGCTCCAACACACACGACTACCACACACACACACACACACACACACACACACACACACACACACTCACACCAGTGAAAAAACAGGTGCTCCCAAGAAGTAGCAGTAGCTTATGGCGGGGTAGCTAATTTATTACTCAGCAGTACACCCTGCATGCTGTATTATGCTTGGCTTCATATACACTACAAAGGTATCTTCAGAAGAAGCTTTTCTAACCTAAAGAGAGGTACTAAATTGCTGGGCAGTGGTAGCAGGAACCTTTAATCCCAGCACTTGGAAAAAACAGGTTCAAGGCCAGCCTGATCTACAGAACAAGTTCCACGACAGCCAGGACTACACAGAGAAACTCTTGTCTTAAAAAAAAAAAAAAAGTTTAAGTATTAATTTACCTTCTTCACAGTGCTATCGTGAGAATTAACTGTAGCAGCCTATGCTGCTAGCCAGACATAGAACCTGGCTCAGGGTGAACCGCAACTGACAGGGGCCAGTCCTCCCCTCTCCTAACCCTCCCCTCCACTGGGGCTGCCTATGCGACTGTTAAGTCAGTAGTTATCTTTCCGTGCGGTCCACATTTATTTGACATGATTCGGAGCTCAGAAGCCACACCCATGTGGGGAGTCCCAGACCTCTCCTTCCCCACTCCTGGTGGGAGGGAGCAGGCAAAGGACACATTCCAGGTGAATGGAAATCTTGAGGTGTCAGGTGATTTAAAACACTAAAGGACTCTTGCTTAGAAGCCCAGCTACATGGGCCATAGACCTGTCCACCCCCTCTGCAGTATCAGTTGGGGACTGCGGTACCAAATCCCATGGTTGCCATAGAAGCAGCTGGGTGCCTGGAGTGGCTCCCGAATCTGGGCAAGGGTCAGAAGAAACACTCCATATCCAGCAATTTGGAATATGCACTTTTTGATGAGATTTCACTGGCCAAACTGTTCTCCGCTAATGGAGTCTAAATCTGGGATGCTGTGTGTGGTCCTGCTCCAAGTGAGTAAAAGGCGCTGAGTAGTGCTGGCTAACAAAGCCTCCCAGGGGCTGCTTTACTTTTTATCACCACTAGGGGGAGAGGAGTTTGTTTTGAGGCTGAGGGAATCAGAAAATGCATCTGTTTTCTCTGCTTCTTCCTCTTCCTCAACCTGTAGTGAAGGACTAGACCCAGGGTGCTCACTGGCCAGCAAATGAAACCCATGATGTCATTCGGCACACACTCAACTGCCACCCCCAGACAGGACTCAGCCCAACCTGTCCTTATGGTGCAAGGACAACAACCACTCCTGAGCAGTGAATCTGGGTGGGCAGAGAGGGCTACTGTGGCTGGAGAAAAGCACCCATTCATCTCATGGCCAGATGGGATGTGTGACAGCCAGAGTCACTCACAGAACTCCGGTTCAGGGCCACTTCCTCCTCTCAGCCCCATGACTGCCCTCTGGGGGGCAGTTCAGAGGCCCCCCGGGTGGAAATGTGGGTTTCATTCTTCCTTCCTGGCTACCAGAGAGGCTTGGATTGCATTCTAGAACAAGAGTCAAATCCCCAGGCTTTTCATCGCCACCACAGTCTCGCTACAACTTGGGCTGAGAGAAGACTGGGTGAAGCCGAGGATTCCGCCTTGGGGTGGGGTAACAAAGGTAATGGGTACAGTAGATGCCCAGTGCAAAAAGAAGCCTCTGTGGGGGTATCTGGGGTTACCTATACCAAGTTTAAACCCAGCACCACTGTAGACACATGCTAAGCATAAGGTCACTGATCCCCAAGTGAGATCGTGGTCATTTCAGGGGGGCTTCTTGTCTTTTGCTGACCTGGAGACTCAGGCACGGGGAAACTGAGCCCACTTCTGCCTTCACCTGGAGCCCCAAGTTCTGGGCAGTAGCTGGAGTCTCAACCCACTCAGACTCCTCCACCACCAAGACCAACTGGGAGAGCCAGGCTAGGCAGTCACAGGCCACCTCTCTCGCAGAAGCCACTGCAAGCTGAACAGGGAAGGAAGGTGCTTCTGTGCCCTGCGACCAGCCTTAACCCAGAGTCCCATAAAGGCAGACTGCTGGTCAGCCACTTTTCCCTCCCTCGGCCCCTGGCCTCCCCACGGTCTCTTCCCCTTTCACACACACATACGCTCAGCACACCCCCTCAGAACCTCTGCCAATGGCTCTTTCACAACTGACTTTTCCCATGAACTAGCCACATCGCCCTGGGGCTGGCTACCTACCATCTCTTCAGGGACGGCCCCCTTCCTTGCCATTGTGAACCCCCAAGGCCCTGGCTGCAAGCCTTCCTCTGCTTCAGGATGGAGTACCCAGGGCTGGGGTTAGAGTGAGTGGGTGGGACTGTGAGGTGCTGGGGTACCAGGAGCCCCAGGTGTGGCTGAAGGGCCAGGCTCCCCGTCTTTGGTCCTTCAGTGGCTCTGAGCCTGCTATTTCAAGGTCTTGCCATTCTTGGATCCACTAGACTTGCCCCCCACCCAAAAAAAAAAAACCCATGTCCCCAAGAAGACTCACTCAAGAGCAGCAGACCTTGCTGTTTAGCTGTCCAGCCTACTGCCTGCCTGCTTGCCACCCCGCCCCGCCCCATCCCCAGCAGGGTCCCAAAGCTTATTCACTTGCAGGGGAGAGATGAGGTCCCTATGGTCAGGCTTACCCTTTCCACACCCAGGAGGCCTGAGGCTCTCTTCTCCACTTCCACCAGGACCACGCCTCAGGCTTAGTGCTTGGCACATGGCTCTGACCTGACTGGAGGTACAGTCTCCCCTATACTTCCCACTCCTTGGCTAAAGCCAGGCCGAGGCCCCCAAAAGGCACCCCTCCTGATTGCCTCCAACCCAGTGGACCTCTGTCCTCAGTCCCTGGATCCCAGGCTCCCCGTTTTGGCCCCAAAATTGGCAGCTGCCCCAAAGATCTGGACAGGATAGCCAAGAATGGGGGATGGGGGTCCCCAAGAATAGAGAATGGGCCTTCGGTCTACAGAGGATTGGGGGACGCTATCCGAGCCTCCTTACCCCAGTGCAAGATCAGGGAGAAAGGAGTGGCGAACAGACCCCCGCCCTCCAAAGACCTCTTAGTCAAAAGACAAGGTCCAAGCAGGCCTCTGGCCTTTGGCAGCTGGGTGATGGGGGCCAGCTCTGTCCTAGGGCCAGAGATAAAACTCTTACCCCAACCCCCTCACTGAATCTTGGCAAGAGAGGGAAGGACAGAGTTCCTGGGAGACAAAAGAGCAGGTCAGTGTAGGACTGACATCTAGAGCCCAGGCCAACCAGCAGAAGGACAGGAGCAGAGGAGGCCTGCTGTCTAAAAGGCAGCCAAGACTGGGGCTTCTGTGGGCACACCCCAAATCCCCGACGGCTGTTGGAAGGGCAGGTAATTCCACATAGGAGCTGGGACATGTGTGCCTCAAGGGCTGAACTAAATCAGGAACAGGAAACCTGCACACACACCACCCCTAAAATTGGGAGATGGAATCCCACAAACAAGCCAGTAAGAGCCTATATCCTGTACCAGAAAAAAAAAACTGTGTCTACCTTAAGTGGAGATGTTCGAGCCTCAGACTGGGGCTCCCCATCCAGTCCTTTCACAATTAGTATGGCGCATGCGCCTCATAACAAAATCACAGGGCATGTTTTGCTGTGGGTTTTACTTTTCCTAGGCGGTCTGCAATGGCTAGAGAAATGATGTATCCAAAGGTTTGTTTTGCAGATGGAGTTGAACTTCTGAGGGGTGAAAGGGCTGTGCAAGGTCACTCAGTGATAGTGATAAGTAGCAAAGTCGTCTGACCTTTTACCTTCGGACAAAGCACTGACCCTATTGTTGATTACACAATCAGTAACGCAAGCACAGATTAACATGTTACAAGGAATAAAATGTTACATTCCACCCTGACCCCCCCCCATCACACCTGCACATTCTACAACCCCTGGTGGCTTGAGCTGCACCCCACTCCTGGTTAATTAATGCTTTACCTTCTGACCCTGAGGAGATGAACTCCTGACTCCCAAGCTTCTAGGGCAGGGGTTCTCAACCTTCTTAATGCTACAACCCTTTAATACAGCTCCTCACCTTGTGGTGACTCTCAGCCATACAATTATTTTGTGGTTGCTCCAGAAATGTAGTTTTGCTACTGTTATGAATTGCAATGTGAATATCTAGTGTGTATCTGATATGTAACCCCTGTGCGGGTCAAGACCCACAGATTGAGAAACACAGTTCTAGGGTCTTCTACCTGGGTGTGGGCCAGTAACACTATGAACCAAAATATTTCCCAGAGCTTAGGAAACAAATCTTTGCTCAAAGAGTTACTCCCTCACAGCGGGGGGAGCAGGCAACAGGTAATAAACGAGCTATGGTGAAAAGGAATTCTTTCTCACTTACCAGGGTGGGCTGCATATTTGTCATTGTGCCTTTAACCTATATTTGCCCCCACCTTTCCTTAAATTCCCTCTTGGGCTTATCTCCAAGCTGTGCTTTTCCTCAAAAGATTAAAGATTTGAACACAACCAGTGAGCAGTAGATATAATCTTCAAAGCACTTTAGACATCGTAAACAATATTTTAGCAGGCACTAATTTCTTTTCCCTTACCACACCTGTCCCCATAAAGCATTTATGAGTGAAGCAGAGAAAGAAAATACTCTAGTTCCGATAAAGAGCAGCGAACAAGCCAGAAACGAAACCCCAGACTGGCTTACTCAGGCCCACTTGCCTGGGACACCCAGTGACAGAGGAGTTGGTTGCATTTCCTCTGGCCCCTAGTGTAAGCCCATAGCCCCCTCTCACCGGTAGCACACAGAGCGATGAAGGTCTGCGCATGCTTGCGGATCAGGGATAGCTTCTCCTTCTGCTGGGGCAGCTTGCGCAGGATGTGCTCAATGAAGTCGTGAGGGGTGACTGCAGCCAGGTTCCACTTCAGTTTGCCCAGAACCACCAGCTCCCACTCCTGTAAAGGACGGGAGGAAGAGGACAGAGCACTCAAAACCCTAGGCTGACTCCAGGGCTGGGCTGGGGACTGGGTCTAGCTTTAATGACACTCATTAACGCTCAGCTGTCAGATCATGACCATAAGGAGGGGGCTCATTTGTCACCATGCCCCTCACTCTTTGAAGTGGCTGACAGCTATTCTTGTGCCAAAAATATCAGGATAATGAGAGGCCAGGTAACCATTGCCAAGATCTGACTTTCTTCTACTTCCTGTCTCCACCCAGAGGACTCCAATGTCCACAAAACGCTGTTGCCTGCCCACCCAGAAAGTTGGACCTATAGCAAGATCTAGGCAAGGTCATTGTGGCACTTTGGCAATACTTTACTGGATACATCTCTATCATAGGACTGACTAATGGTCTCTTTTCTCCTCGTGAGAAAAAAAAAATGATGCTTGGAGATTCAGAACAAAATAAGCTTCCTTGGCTCAACTCATTGGCAACCAATTAGCTGGCCTTTACTTGTGGGAGAAAGTATCATTTTTCCTCCTCTGTTGCTGACACTTTTCCCTTTGACACACCATGCAGAAATCTTGGGGAAATGACACTTAGCCCTTTCACCTAAATCTTCCCCGGCCTTTGCCTTCGGGTTGCAGATAGAGGGCTTTGAGGTCAGGTGGAGGTGCTTAAACGGGGTCCTGAAACCCTTTCAGAGCAAGTGCTGGGACACCGCAGCCTTCTCTTGTATGGGCTCACAGCAGTCCCATACTAAACAACCCATGTCTGTCCTTTTGTGAAATAAATATGCAAACGTATTCTCAGATGAACTGGGCTAAACAAAACAAAACCGAAGGAATATGTGCACCTGAGTACATACCTGGGGTTCCTTCCACCTCTCCAAGGAAGAAGGAAAGTTCCAGGCAAGTTCGGATTATGTAGGACCTTGTTTGTTTTTGTTTTGCCTTCCCCCCCCCATCACGGACGGGGTGCTTTCAGAAGGAAGCTGTCCCCGAGAACCAGTGCTTGGAAGCACAAGAGGCAGATACTGCCTGGCTGGCCATGACTTGACTCTTGAGCTCTCCCCCCCCCCCCCCCCCCCCCGTTCCAACTGCTAAGCTCAGGGACAGGCTAGAAAGCACTAACCAGCTATGGTGTGTTCTGGAAGGAGCTCTTTCCATCCATAAAACAAGAGGGCTCTTCCAGACCCCATTACTTCTGGATAGGAGGTGGAAAGCTGGCGTGCTTTATTCGGACAGAATTAAGTTAGCTTTGCTGGTCCTGGAAAACTTGGGGTGTGTAAAAAATACCACAAATTCTCTAGCACATCAGCCACATGGAAGATTCTTTTTCATGTGTTTTGGGAGATAAACAAGTAGGTCTCTAACTCTAATCCGTGTTTTTCTGTTTATTTGGTTGTTTTGATTTTTTTTCTAATTCATAAGCTTTCAAGTCAGCCCTGGCTTTTTGCAGAAAGTTGGGATAAAAATCTGCTTGATTACCAAAAAACCAGAGGTGGCTTGAATCCCAGCCCTTCCTTCTTCTAGGGCAATGTGAGCGCAAACTCGTCCTCTGGTATCATTATTGGGAGAAGCAGATCTTCCAGGACAAAGCACCTTTAGGGGCCTCTTAGACCAAACCAGAGGCAGCTGCAATCTGGCAGCGCTTCAAAGGTGAAGTCATTCAGGCCCCTCTCTGCATTCGCCGCAATTCCTCCCCCAACCTTGCATATGTCTGCCACGAGGTGGCAGCACAAGCCCAGGAAGGAGGGCTCCTCACAAAGGGCTCAGTTCAAGAAGCCAGTCTTAACCTTGGAGACTTTGTGCAGGCCTAGGCTGTGCCAGCGAGTGGGAGGGAGTGGGCAGAGAGGGTGGTCCTCTTCTACCAGTACAAGAGAAAGGTGTGCAAACCACTGAAGGTGGGCCCCAGAAGCTGCAAAAGAGCTAAAGGTTTTTGGTGTGTGGCTGTAATATGAAGGGGCACTGCAGGGGGGGTGGGGGAGTGGAGAAGCCTTTCTAGCAGAAAACCTGGGGCCAAGACAGGACCCCCTGGTAACTGTATCCAGGTCACAGTCCCTTCTGGAGTTAAGAACTCATACTTTCCCACCAATAGAAGGCCAAATGTTGACTTCCATAAAAGTTGGTATGTCGATACTTAGTGATCACCTACTATATGTATGTTGATATTATGAGACTTTATTGATCTGTAAGGCATTACCTGAGACACCTCCAGGCTCTTAGGAGACACAACACAGCTAGCATGTGAGAAATCAGACTGTGTTCTCAGGGTTCAGTGGAAATCCAGACCTTAATTAAAAATCATTCACTAAAATGTTCTATACCCCCCCACACACACACACACACACACTCACTCACTCACTTGAACTCTCTTCAACTGGATTTCACCCTCACAAACTTCCACAAGGGATTGAGAGTCTTGTCACTAGCCATCTCCTACTAAAAGAGACACCTGCTTGGTGTGAAGGCTGCAGTGGTTCTGGGCAATTCTGAACCCTAAAATCACCCTGGGGCTGCTGGTAGAATTCACCATGATGGGGGAGGGCAGAGTCAGGAGCAGGGAGGGCAGCATTACCAGCAGCTCCTGGGGCTTCACGGAGTTGTCGGTGTAAATGCACAGCTTCTCGGCAGTCAGCGGGATGGTCTCTTTGAGCTTAGAGGCTAGGAACATGCACACTGCACCCAGGAGCTGAAGGTGGGTCTTAGGAGTCGGGACTCCAGCCAAGAAACGGTCCAGATAATTCATGGCCAAAGGGAAGACTTCCTCTTCACACTTCTGTTCCTCGCAGACCTACAACCAGAGTGGGATAGGGTCCGAGAAGACAGTGAAAAAATAGCATGAGAAATAGGGAAGAGAATGAAAAAGTACAATACAACCCGTGGAGACAAAAAATTATTATTATTATTATTGTTTTTTGTAGAGAGGGGGAGGGGAACAGAAAGGGCAATAAGAACAGAGGTGAGAACACTGGGCTAAATCGGAAAAGCCCTCGGGGCTCGAATATCTCCCCAGGGCTGGAAAGGGTGTTTAACTAAAGCCCCATCCCCCCCCCCCAACCCTAAGGCAAAGCCCGGAGCAGCAGCTGCCTGCCGCTCCCTCTGGCTCCTCACTTCTCCGCACTCTAACTCACTCTCTTTTTTGGATTTCGTCATCTTTTCAAAAAATCAATAAAAATATTCTGGAAGCTCCAAGGGGCTACTTCTTGGTCTCATTCGGATCCCCAGACCCTATTCTATCATTCCCGACAATTGAAAAAAATGCCCAGGGTGGTCTCGGCCGCCTAGGGGCCGCTGTTGGGGGGTGGGTGGAGAAGAGAGGGGGAGGGAGGAGGAAGAGCGCCGCAGCCGCCCGCCGCAGCTGGAGCCGGAGCAGAGGGGACCGCTTCAAAAAAAAATTATTAAAAATCGAGGGAAAAGCCTAGAAACGTCCTTTGAGCCTGAAAACCCCAGAGAGGCTCCAGGCTCTCCGGAATAGAGGTTTTGGGTGTCGTTAAGGTCGGCATCTCCTCCCCAGGGGCTCTGGATCCCGATGGGGAAACTTGCGGAGTGTCCGGCTGCGGCCCACAAGGGCAGTAGCTAAGAAGGCTGTACCCAGCTGGGAGCTGAGGGAGACCGAATCAGGGAACCCCTCTCAGGGAGGCACGCGGAACTCTGATCTCTCATTTGGGGGTGTCCCTAGCTCGCTCTACACACACCTCCTCCCTCGCTTCCTACCCCACCCAAATCTGCGCGCTGAAGGAGTTAGTCAAACTGTAAGTAACCTTGGTGGATTGGGGGCTGGGAGAGAGGGCAGGATCAGAAAGAGGGTGGCCACGATCATGGGGTACTTGGGGGAGCCGGCGAATGTTCCCCGTCCTAGCAATTGGAGTTTAAAAAGCAACATGGCGAAACCACGGCAGGTCCAGAGCTGTGCAGACGTGGGCACCCTGCTCTCTCCGCAAAGATTGCAAGCCAGACTAAATTAGCAGCGGTTCTTTCCGATTCCCTAAAACGCACGTTTTTTTTTTTTTCCAGTGTGACTTCCGGGGCTCTCCTGAATTCCCTGTTTCCTTCCCCCCCATATCCCCCCACCAAAGTGCCAACGCGGAGTCCCGATCACACGCAGGACCCGAGGCCAGGGTGGCTTTGCCCCAGCCTTGGGGGGGGGGGCATCTGTCTTTCACTGTTGGCGTGGACTTTCGGGTTCCCACATCCTCGGAAACCTCACTGAAGACAGCGGTTCCACAAAACAGGTCAGGATGGAGATAGGAGGACGAGGAAGCCACAGGCAGACACACGCGCGCGGGATGCCAACCCGACCCCCCCCCCACCACATCGTTGCCTTACCCACGTTTTCCTCCCCCAGTTAATCTAGCAAGGGACAGAATTGCGTCTCGTCCAAGGGTGCGGGAGCCCAGGTAGGCCAACGCAGAGGTAGTCCTCTCGCAGTTTTAGGGTCCCTGTGTGTTGGGGGGGGGGCGTAAAGCAGATAGGGCTGCCTCTCCTAGAGAGTGTCGCCAGCGCACCCACCTCTAGCATCCAGGTGGCCACCATCCTGCGCATGTAAGGTTGAATGTCCTTCTGCACGCACTTGAAATAGGAGCACTGCGGGAGGTAGCGCTCCTCGATGGTCAACAGGTTCTGCAGGACGCGGTCTTCCAGCAGGTTGCGGTCTGGCACAGCCCTGCGGACCGGGTCCGCCTCGCAGCACAGCAGCTCCATGGCCAGTCTGCGACCACTTGGTCCCGACTGGGAAAGTTTTGTTAGTTTTTTGGAGGGGGGGGCGCTCCCCTTACCTCCTTCCTTTGGCTAAATAGGCGATTTGAGAGAGAGAGAGAGAGAGAGAGAGAGAGAGAGAGAGAGAGAGAGAGAGAGAGAGAGAGAGAGAGAGATTGTGAGAAGGAGGACGAGAGGAAGGTGGGCGAGCAGAGCCTCAAGGGCTGCCTGACTCGCACCGGCCCTTCCCTCGGAACTGCCTAGCTCTCCCCAGCTCGCTCTCCGCACTCTGAGGCAGTGACGCAAGCTGGCAGGGCAGTTAGATCTCCTCCCACTCTCCGCTTCCTCCTCCCCTTTCCTCCTCTCCCCTGGCGTCCCTCCCCTCCTTTCAATCTCTCCCTCCCTCTTTCCCTCCCCCCCTTGTTATTAAGGAGCACAGCAGCTGGCCCAACCAAACTTCAAACACGATCCCCCGCCCTCCCCCCCACCCCAGTTCTCCAAGGCCCTCTCCCTCTATCCAGGCCCGCATGCTAGGGGCCCCGGATAGGGGAACCCACAGCACCCACGGATTCCTATTGATTCTCTATCCTTTCTTACATTCTGTAGCCATACCATGGGGAGGGGTTTTGCCCTCTGACTTGGGCGGCTTACAATGTGATCGGAATACTGCCCACTATTCACGACCCAGCGGTAGAAGGTGTATTGATTGAACTTGTGGATGAGCTCAGACAACTTAGAAGTAGATCCCCTAACTGAGGAATGAGGGAAGGCTTGCTTGAGAAAATTGCAACCTTGCATACCTAGGGATAAAGGTTATAACGCCCCTGAGGCTTAGGCTCCTGATAACTTTCAAGCTGTTTCCCGGCCCGGAACCGCGTCTGTGGAGAGGAAGAGGAGGAAGGGGTGGATGCTGGAAGGAGGGGGCTGCTTCTCGGGCCTGGTAGAATATGACACTCGTGCAGAAATCTTCGTGTTCTTGGGGGCGCCATTGGGCGGCGCGGCCAGACGCCTGGGGCCGCTGCAGGCCGGGGACAGGACTAGCAGCTGGTCCTCCGCGGCCCTCGGCCACGCAGGAAAAAACCCGCTTCCTCGCCCCTGCATCTGCTGACAAGCCGCCCTAGGTGCCTGAGCCGAGCGTGGCCACATTGATACAGCTTTCTAGGAAATGGCTCGGGAGGGGCGGGGGGGGGGGTTAGATTTGGCTCTCCCAGCGCCAGCGAGGCCACCCTTCCTTTCCCCGGAGGTTCCTGGGTCCTGCAACCCTCAATCTCAGACCGCACCTCACTCGTCAGCCAGGACTTTGGGTTGGCCCTGACATGTGCTCTAGCGCATCCTGTGGTCAAGGCTGTTTGTAGAAGGGACACGGTGGCGCTTCCTCACCTCCTTCCTCTTCCCACCAAGCTTTTCAGCATATTCCATTTGGGGAGGAAGGGGTAAGGACTCAGGGCCCCCGGCAGGGTGGCCACGCTGGCACGTGCAGATAGCACGGCGTGGGTTGCGGCTCTCCGGGCACACCGAGGGCCAGTGAATCCCTCCTTCCCTGAGAGCGGAGGCCGGAGCTGGGGCGCCTACAGCTAGCGGAGGCTGGAGGGGGGGGGGTGACGCGCTGGGGGAGCTGCACCCGTGTGCTCCCAGAAAGGCCGGGGAGAGGGGCAATAAAGTAGAGGTGCGAGCGATTAACTCCGGGCTGGCCAGCCCCTTTAAACGAGGGTGGGGCGGAAGGGGTGGGCGGGAGGAGGGGGATATCACTTTAAAAGGGTGAGTAAGAGTTTGGGGCGCCGTCTCCCCTCCCTCTATTTGCATAGCCAATAGCTCTGGGGCTCCTGCTACTGCGCGCTGATTGTTACCGGGCAGATTACTTTTTTTTTTTTTTTTTTTTTTTTTTTTTAGTAGGACGCCTTCTCCGCTACATCAAAAGGAAGCCCGGGGAGGGCGGAGGAAGAGCAGGGACCCGGGCGGGCTGGGGCTGCGGAGGGGCCCGGGGTGCCTCGTACCTTATCAATGGCAGCGAGAATTAGTATCCAATCTTCTGCATGTAAAGAAAGGGGAGGGAAAGGGCGGGCGAGGAAAATGTCTAATTGCAGTGGAAGCCATTAGCTTTCGGGAAGGAAGAAAAAAAAAATCATTGAAAAAGCCAAGTTGCAAACTCAAAATGAAACAGTCCGGCGCCCAAGAAGACACTGTCCATCACCTGTAGATTTAATCACAGGATTCCCAAATATAAGATTTTTGGTGTCACCCTGGACTGATACGTGAATTTACGTTTTAAGACCTCAGAAAGCAATGACTAAAAATTTGCCCAGGCCACCTCGCAGGAAGGGATCTGACAGAGCTCCTGGACAGGGGAGCAAAGTAAGGGGCGACATAGCTGTTTGGAGGAATCACCCACCCCGACGGAGGACTTGGAGGATATCCACTCTCGCCACACTACTCGAAGGCTAGCCCTGCATGGTCTGTTCTGCACCTCCGATGAAGACAGCATCGGGGGCGGAGAAGAGGCGGGTGGTCGTCGTCGGGGCTCGCCCACCCGGAGGACAAAGTCTGGGTGGCAGGTCCTCCCTTCTCCAGAGCCTGCGGAGGGCCCCTCGCCTCTTCCCTCCCCCACTCTTGGCTTTGCAGTGAAATTCCAGCGGGGAGGGGATCCTGAGGGTGGGAGAGGTGGCCTGCGGCGGGGAGGGCGGCGGAGGAGGGGAGGAGAGGGTCTCCGGTTGGAGTCCCCACGTCTGGAGACTGGAAAATTAGAGTGCTTCCCGCCTGAGAGGTTCTCCTTCAGCTCCGCATCTACCTCCCCCTCCGACTACCGAGGGTTCCCGAAGGTGAACCTCGCACCGAATCCGTCCCCAGCACGTGGGGTGCGGCGTGAGAGGGCGCGGAGGTTGGCAGCGTGTCTCTGAGAGGTTGGGAATGGAAAGTGCGTTCTCTCTTTCGGTGGCCACTCAGACCGCGTGCTAAAAAGAAAACTTAATTTCTTGTTTTTTGGTTTTATGTTTTATAAAAAGCACCCCAGCTAGCACGCGGGAAAGGCCATGCTGCCGTAGGGGCAAATGTACTTATTTTTTTTCTTGAATGTGGACTTGGGTGTGCAGTGTGCTCTGCTGGGAGGGGCTGCAATAAGAGATCCCCGCCCCCTTCTTAACCCCTGAAGGTGGAGAGAGCCTTTACTGGGTAGGATCCTTGGTAAACCTGAGTCAAACGCGAGTTTTACTGGACTTTTAGTCCCTCCAGGACGTGCCCCCCCCACCCCTCCCTTTTGCATCTAGCAGTTTCGGTTGGAAAGTGTACAAAGCCAGTAGGTGTAAGGTACAGCAGGGTGTTGGGTGTTTATAGGCATATTTCTGCAGGAACCTGCCACCTAGGCACACATTCTAATAAGATCACCTGGCGGACGCCAGCCAGCCAGGTGATCCTGCGGTCGGCTGCAAGCCGGAGAGTCCTTGGTTCGAGTCCTGTCACCTCAATGTTCTGGGGGTCATCGCCTCCTCTCTGACTCGCCCAAAGAGTAGAGCCCTGTTTGTGTTACTCCACCGACAAATGGGTGGTCAGCCAATCAAAACTCAATGGTTACGAGAAAAGGCTCAGTAGCAGGAGTGGGGGGAGAAAAAAAAAGGTTTAAAATGTGAGAAGGGGGAGAAGGGGGATGGGGAAGAGTTGAGACGTGGAGATCCCGGGAAAGAGGGTGCAAGGTCCCAGGACTGGAGGGTCCCATACCAAGACCAAGCAGCTCCAGGTGTGAGACCATATCCAGGACCCTCTCCGAGAGCAGACCGGATGAGCGCAGTCACCAGCCCTGTGCACTCCAGCGACCCTCGGGTGGGTTTCAGCGTGGACCTGGATAGTGTCCTTGAGGCGTTACTGGGGTGGGTTCAGAAGCCAGGGCCTGAAGTTGGCTCACCAACCTCGTACCTCTCCTTTGGAAGAAAAAAATAAAAAAATAAAGACCCAAACTTCCCCGTCTTCCTGTCTGATTCAGCTTCAGGACACGCCTCACCCGGCCGAAAATAGCCCTGGAAATGCATTTGCTTTTTGAAAGTGAATTTGCTAGTAAGATCTAGGGTGGGGTGGGGTGGGGGCTTCGGGCCGGCGGCGTCGGGGGTCCTGGTCCCTCCCTGGGGCGCCCCCGGGAGAGGACTACGGGGCGAAGGAACCACGCCTCTGCTTGGGGAGCCACCACGCGGCTTTTTCGCGGAATTTTGACGTCACCCACATGTGGGGGAAGGGGATGGTAGAGCGAGAGGAAACGGCGGGGGAGGGGGACTGCGCAGCCGAATCGGTAGCCCGGTGGCCGCCCAGAGGCTGACAGGGTCCCAGGTCCCTCAGCACCCGCGGGTGCTGTGGTCAGAGTTGAACCCCGGCCGCAAAGTTCGGCTCCCTGCTCCCAACCGTCCTCCACTTCCAAACACTTCCCCCACCAACGTCCACACTTTTTATTTATTTATTTATTTATTTATTTATTTATTTATTTATTTTACTTTGAAATCGAGACCCGCCCTTTGCTCCAGAAAAAGCTGGTTTCTTTGGTTTGTGGTCCAGTTCTTCTGGTCCCTAACATCCGACCGAGTATCGCGCGATTGCTGGTGGCTACGGCTATCCCGGCGCTTCTTAAGTCTCTCTCCACCCGGGAAGATGAACTTGTGTCTTTCTGGTGCTTGGGAACAGAGTTTTGTGTTTACCTTCACACGCGGGATTTTTCCACGCGCGACTTAGTCCTCGCTGTCTCACTCCACATTCCATTTAAAACATCCTCTAACTTGGTTACTATGATGGTGACACACGGAAATTCCTGGGGATGTATGGGAACATTCACCCACGGATTTTGCTGTACCCACAGCTAACCTGTCTATAAACACTCCCGTGAGAAGCACAGAGAGATGAGCGAAAGTGCAGGGCCACTTCCGCCCACTCACGGAAGACCCACTTGGCATCCGTACTGTGGAGCATCTTCTAGGGAGACTGCAGGGGTTGAAAGTGTGGCAGGGTGAGCCCACGCACCTTCATTTCCCTTGAATTTGAGCAAAATCTTTTTAATCTTTCAGTTTAGAGGCACGAGAGCTAAAATGTGTCATTATCTTTTGAGCCCATGACAATTAGGATGAATTGATCTTCACACTCAAGGAGCTGCAGTGTGGGGGGGGGGGGGATTAGGAAGAA